GGGCCTGGGGCGGTCACCCTGATTCGCCCCCCGCCATGGGACAGCTCTGCTCCCACCCAGGGCTGCATGCAGGCCCCGTCTCAGCTTGTGGGGAGCCCATCAACCTGGCCACCACCTCCGCTCTACTCGAGGAGCACAGAAACATGGGGCTGGAGGGAGGCCTCACAGCTGGCCCCCTGAATCCACAGGTGGCCCCCCCACCCTTCTATGGGCGCCCGTGGCTGTATGGCTGAGGGCAAGCAAAACTCGGAGGCATCTGAACCCCAAGTCTTCATGCTTGGGCTTGCACATAGGATGCCTGCCAAAAGATCTGGAAGTATCTGAAGCCCCAGGCTGAAAAGTTTGGGGTGGAGGATCCCGGTAGTAGGGCCACATATGGTTCTTGAACAATTCAAAGGATTTGGAACTGATTCGGCTGCTTTGGCCAATTTGACCCGGGACCTGACAAATTTTCCTTAAAAATAAAAATAAAAAACCCCCTGCCCTCCCCCCTGGGGAGTCTAGAGCCTGGGTTAGCTACAGCCTGGCTCCAGAGTGTCTGGGTCACTCTGAAGGGGGTCCGGGCAGCCCATGCGCTGAGCAGGGAGCTGCCAGGAGCTGCCCAGGGGGAGACATCAAGCTCAGGGGGTGTCAGAGCCCACAGTCCCTATAAAGCTCATTGTCAGGGGCTGGGTCTGGAGACCTCAGCCTGAGCACAGGCGACCAGCTCCATTCCCTCCAATGGAGCGGAGCTGGGGCTTTGTATCCAGAGGGGCAGCCTCCCAGCTCCACCACCACCCCTCTATGGATCAACTCAAGGTGGGCAGAGGTCGGACCCTGCTGCAGCCGCAGGATTCCCTGCAGCCGAGAGGCTTGCTCTTAGGGGTAGAGGTGGTGGGCCTGCCTGGCGTGAGCTGAGGGGCAGCCGTGGCTCTTGATGCTTCTATCCCGGGTGCTGGGGTGGCGGTCCGTGCCCGGGCTGGGCGTGTTGGTGGTGCCACCTGCTGGGGAGACCGAGCCAAGGCAGCTCGGAGTCGCAATTGGAGGTGGGAACTGGCAGTCTTTCTTAGCTTTTCATTGACCCACTGAGCACCAGGCCAAAGACCGTGCGGCCGGCTCAGGGCACAACGCAGGGCACTAGCTTCTCCCAGGTCCCCCGCAGCAAGGCCAGTCACTTGAAGCTAGCAAAAGCATCTCCCAACCAGATTTGAAGGCAGCCAGTCCACTGCTCTGCTCTGGAGGTCGGGCACTTCCATGCTGTGCCCGATGCACTGAATCTGCGTGGCTTCTGCTCCCAGCCCCGGTGCTGGCTCTCTCTTTCCCCATTAGATGAATGCCCTGTGTTTTGTCTTCACAGAGCTTCTTACAGCCCCCAATCCAGTCACCTCCTAACCCTCCTTCTGGTGCCCCAAACAGAGCGAGCTCTTTCAAGAGACAGGCAGAGATAAGGGGCTGGCAGGGACGTCATGTCTTCTTGGCTCCCTTGCCGCCTGAACAAGTGGCACCAGGCAGATAATAGCAGCAAAGGGAAAACAATCTGGGACTGTAGCTGGGAAGCCTGCCCCTGAGATCAAAGCCAGGCTCCTTCCTGCAATGCCACCCGTGCCCCATGTGGACACAAGCAAGTCATCTAATCTCCATGCTCACATGGGCACCGCAGCCTTTCATCTCTCCTCCCACCAGTGGCCTTGACCCCAAGCCCTGTCCATGGAAAGCCTGGGAAAAGCAGGCCCCTCTGCCCACGGGAAAGACCCGTCTCCCCTTTTAGCAGTGACTCCAGGAGCTGTTTCCCACAGCAGTGCATCTTCATACAGTTCAATGCTAATGCTGCAGGACACAAGGTAACCAGAGAAGCTTTGAGAAGAGCCCAGCTGGGAAGGCAGAGCCACGGGGTATGCATGGTGGAGAGCTGCAAACAAGACCTGATACAGGGGGCCTGTAATCACAGGGCAGGGAGTGATCCAGGCCTCAAGGACAGGCCGACTGTGAGCACAGCGGCAGGGAAGCCAATAGAGGATTTCCTTAGCAAAGAGCTGAAGGAAGGTGCATCCACTCAGGACCTGTGTTCTCATCCCAGAACCACTCCTTCCATTAAGCATCTTATATATTTTTCTGGCCGCACCTCATGGGTTGATTCGCATTGAGTTTGCCAGTGGTTCCAGCAAACAAGCAACTTGGTCACGTTCTGGTGAGGAACCTGGGAGCAAAGGCCTGGCACAAGCAGTGGTATCCCCCTCTCTGATCCCTGTAGCCAGACAAGATGCCTCTATGGGAGATGCTTTCATTGAATGCAAGTGATTGGGCTCAGCATAAGGAGAAGCAGGTGGAATTTCAGGCCTGGGAAGGAAATCAGACCAGATGATTGCCTGGCCCTTAGCCTCTATGAGTCCATGCATCTGCTGGCAAGTCTCCAGCAATCCAGGAGACAGATCGACCGATAGCTAGCTGCTTCTACAACTAGAGAGCCTGCCAGCCTGTGTGCAGCTGATTTCATATGCTGAGACTCAGCTATCTCATACAGGGATTAGCATCATACAATCAAAGAGAAATGGGGCTGGGAGGGAGCTCCAAAGGTCACATCTAATCCAACCCCTGCCTGAGGCAGGATCAGCCCTGTCCAAACCATCCCAGGCACATCCATCATCTAAGCTCTTAGCAAAACTACCATCAACCCTGACACAACACAAAACCTCACACCCGAACCTGCCGCGGGTAAAGCAGGGGGGCCATGGCATCATTTCAGGACAGCGGGCCACCTCTTGTGCCCAGCCCACAGGCTGCCAGTCCCTGCTCTGGGACCAGCAGGACAACTCCTCTTTCTCACTCTTGACACTGTGCTTGCCTGAGAGAAAACTGCTCGGTGGCCGTGAGGGGCCATGAGGCCAAGGCGTTACCATGCTGCTGGACTGGGTACGTGTGAGCTACTTCTGGTCTCACACTCCTACCAGGGGCCAGGCTAGCAACTGTAAATTAACTCTGGAATAAATTATTTACAAGCACATTGTTTCTAGATTTTAAGGCATCTGATGCAGGGCCGGTCTTAGTTTTACATTTGGAAAGTGCTTAACACAGGGAAGCCTGAAACAGAGGGTGTCTAAGGCAGCTTTATCGTCATCATCTTCACCATTCTGTACTGTGACTTATTTTCTGATGGGCTAGAAGTATAATCATTGATGCTGATAATCTCAATACCTTGTTGATGGAATATGGTGAAGCCAAATGCCCAGCTTCTCAAATGAGGGCCAGCACAGATAGTCACTGTGTGGGAATGGAAAAGTTGCCCTCTGTTTCCTTCCATATGTGAGATGATGGAGCTGAATTCAGCTGGACTGAGGACTGTTATTCTACCAGGCCCATAGGGAAGCAGCACACTGGAGTTTCTCCTTAGAGCATCCATCTACTTGACTGTGGGCGTTTCAACATGCTGCCCTACGGTGACATAGTGACGCACTATGTTGCCATATGGCACGCTACATGACATAGCGATCACACAGCTGTACACATGATCGCCAGCTATGTCACCGTAGCAATGCACTCCCTGGCTGTAACGTACTGCTACAGCAACATAGCAGGGAAATCTAAGTGTGCACTGCCCGCACGGCACAGTAATCACCTGTACTTACATGCTTTAGTGCTTCCAAAAGGAAGTACTAAAGCATGATGCCATAGCCACGTGTACATGCATCCTGTATCCATCACAGACATGTGCACAGACAGGCAAACAGACAGTTCACCCAGTCATGAGAGGGTGATGGGGACGGTGGGGGACAAGGGTGAAGATTTGGCCTTGCTAAAGTCAATGGCAAAACTGCTGTTGACCTCAAGAGAGCCAGGATTTTACTCAGAAGAGATCACAGAACCATAGAAAATAAGGGTTGCAGGGACCTCAGGAGGTCACATCTAGTCTGACCCCCTGCTCAAAGCAGGACCAGCCCCAACTAGATCGTCCCAGCCAAGGCTTTGTCTAGCTGGGTCTTAAACACCTCCAAGGATGGAGACTCCACCACCTCTCTAGGTAGCCTGTTCCAGAGCTTTTCTACTCTCCCTGTGAGAGTTTTTCCTATATCTAACCTCAACTTCCCTTGCTGCAACCTGAGCCCATTGCTTCTTGTTCTGTCATCTGCCCCCACTGAGAACAGCCCAGCTCCATCCTTTTTGGAAGCACCCTTGAAGTTTGGGCCAACCTTTTTGGCAGGCATTTCACAAATTAGGACAGCCCCTTTCCCAGACCCACCTTGAGTGCCACTCCAATCTCCTTTGCCTGGTCTCGTGCTCTGCTTTCTGCTCCCTGCCCTATCTGCTGCTTGCTGCCTGCATCCACCCTGATCTGCCGCATGGCACTTGTGCCACTCGTGCCGCAGGCTGGCCACCCCTAATAAGAGTCCAATCCCCTGCTCAAGGCAAGATCATCTCTGTCGATCTCGGTCATCCATGACACATGCTTGTCCTAGTCCTAAATCTACACAGTCAACCCTTTTGCACAGCAACAAGGCCCAGTGCCCAAAGAAACCTAATGCCCCCAAACCTGCTAGAGGTAAAGCAGGGGGTGAGGGCTGGCAGTGTCCTGCCACTGCACGGGGGCTTAAAATGTATTGAAGAGATCCATCCACCCACCCACCTGCCACCCATCCATTCACCCACCAACCTACCCACTCATCTGTCCATCCATCCATCTGCCTGTCCATCTTCCCATCTATCTCTCCATGCACCCATCTGCCTGTCCGTTCATCCATCCATCCATCCACTCACCCACCCACCCATCCATCCATATATCCCAATACACCCTAAGTATCTACCGATCTGGTTAGCTACCTCCCTCCCTATCTATCTAACCCCATATATCCCCTCTATCTACCTATTAATCCATCTGTCTCCCTCTCTGCCCATGCCTCCCTACTCACCAATCCATGTGTGTCCCTAGCCAGGCCTCTCCATCCCTTCCACTGCCGCTGCCCAGACCTGGCCCTGATGGCTCTTGGTGGTTCCTAACCATGTGCCCTTCTCTTTGCCTTCCCTCCCAGATGACGTCTGCCACCAAGGTGTACTACAGCCAAACCACCCAGACTGACAGCCGCCCACTGATCAGCTCGGGCCTGCGCAAGCGCCGAGTGATGACAAAGGATGGGCGGAGCAATGTGCGCATGGAGCACATCGCCGACAAGCGGTTCCTCTACCTCAAGGACCTGTGGACCACCTTCATTGACATGCAATGGCGCTACAAGCTCGTGCTCTTCTCTGCCACCTTTGCCGGCACCTGGTTTGTGTTTGGTGTGGTCTGGTACCTGGTGGCCGTGGTGCACGGGGACCTGCTGGAATTTGACCCCCCGGCCAACCACACACCCTGCGTCATGCAGGTGCACACGCTTACCGGGGCCTTCCTCTTCTCCCTGGAGTCCCAGACCACCATCGGCTACGGCTTCCGCTACATCAGCGAGGAGTGCCCGCTGGCCATCGTCCTGCTCATCAGCCAGCTGGTCCTCACCACCATCATGGAGATCTTCATCACAGGCACTTTCCTAGCCAAGATCGCCCGGCCCAAGAAGCGAGCGGAGACCATCAAGTTCAGCCAGAACGCCGCGGTGTCCCAGCACAACGGCAAGACCTGCCTCATGATCCGCGTAGCCAACATGCGCAAAAGCCTGCTTATCGGGTGCCAGGTGACTGGCAAGCTGCTGCAGACCTACCTCACCAAAGAAGGTGAGAACGTCCGGCTCAACCAGGTCAACGTGGACTTCCAGGTGGACACGTCCTCGGACAGCCCCTTTCTCATCCTGCCCCTCACCTTCTACCACATCGTGGACGACGTCAGCCCCTTCCGGGACATGTCCCTGCGCACAGGTGAAGGCGACTTCGAGCTGGTCGTCATTCTGAGTGGCACGGTGGAGTCCACCAGTGCCACCTGCCAGGTGCGCACCTCCTACCTGCCTGAGGAAATCCTGTGGGGCTACGAGTTCACGCCGGTCATCTCCCTCTCGGCCAGTGGCAAGTATGTCGCTGACTTCAGCCTTTTCGACCAGGTGGTGAAGGTGTCACCACCCTGCTGCATCCATGAGACCGTGAGGTTCGGTGACCCTGAGAAGTTGAAGCTGGAGGAGTCCTTCCGGGAGAAGGCAGAGCGCGAGGGCAGCCCACTCAGCGTCCGCATCAGCAACGTCTGAGCGGCCCACGGCTCACGCCCAGCCTCTCAGTGCCTACTCCTTCCCCCTCTCTAACCTTTCCCCTCCTCCCCGCTCTTCTCTCTCCTTCCCTGCCAGTCTCACGGGGCAGTTCGAGTGATCCACTCTCCCATAGGACCATGCCGAAGGATTGCGCCGTTAGTTCCCCCCATAGCACTGCTCCCACCTTGTCCCTGGGACCTCCCAAGGGAGAGGCTGGGTGGCCAACCTCCCTTCTTCCTCCTCCTGGGCCTGGTGCTTGCATTGATTTTGGCACAGTGCCAGGCACCCCACGGCCATGCGGAGCCCAAGCCAGCAGGGTGGCATCGCCCCACAACCCAGTGGGCTGTTTTTATGGACTCTGCCTTTGCTCCCAGCCTGCAGACTCAACTCACACCTAACGCCCTGCTAATCCCCCGCGAGGCACAGGCGCGTTTCCAGGACAGCAACCTATACCAGGGTGCTGCTAGCGGCACCGCCCGCCCTGTCCCAGGCACAGCAATGGCCGTACTGGGTCAGCACCAAGGTCCACCCAGTCCCGTTCCCTGCATCCAAGCCTGGAGGAAGAGGTGACTGCTGTCTGCAACACTGGTGGACACAGGACCTGGCACAGCCTGCTGCATGTCAAGGATCACCGTGGTCATTGGAAGACCCCTGAGCACCTGGCCTGATGGCCTGGCAGGGAGTCTTGCGGGGGAAGCATCTCCCTTGGCACAGGCTGGGCTGGCGGAAAGCTGCAGCCCCCAGAAACGGACCCTGAGACCAGTGCTGGGCACTGACTAACAAGGTGCTGGAGTGGAGGCAGGGGGGGCTTGAGGCTCTGGCAGCCCCGAGCTCTGGGGCATGGGGAGGTGTCCAGCAGCCAGGAGAATAAGCCTCTTCCTGCCTCCCTAAACAGCTGCCTTGACATTTCCTCGCTGGGCAGGAAGCAGGCAAAAGAAGCCGGTGATGAAGATCTCCATGATGGTGGTGAGGACCCCTGGTTGCTGGCTACGTCCCCTCGCACTCTCTGCAGAGCCTGGAGCCCCGCTGCCTCCACCCCCTGCCCATGGTCCCCTTCCCCGACTCCGGGCATGAAGCCAGACCAGCATGCCTCTGCAGCCTGGCCCTGTGCTCCACTGGTTGTGGAGACCTCACGGGCCCTTCCTGAGAGACCAGCCCCTCTGGCTGCTCCTTTGCACCAACCCCTGGCTGGGAGACCCTCACACACTGAGAAAACCCCCATCCCCAGGGACCCACAGCCCAGCTGCAGCCTGAGCCAGCCAGCAGGGAGACTGCACATGGCTTGGCTGCATATGATGCCTCTGGTGCCCATTGCTCATCCACCCGAGGGGGGCAGGGAATCAGCTGTGCCCGGGGCTGGAGGGTTTCACATCAGCAGCACGGTGAAGGTCTCAGCCCCGAGGCTGCCACGGATCCCCTGCATTGTGGAGGTGCTTCCAGGTGCTCGGGGCTCCAGAGCAGCATTGGGCCCTGCAGCCATGGAGCATCCAGCCATGCCAAGCACAGCTGACTGCAGCAGAAGGAAGCCACCGTGTCCGGCACATGCACACCCTGCATTCAAGGCAGTGCCAGCACCTCCCTGGGAAGTCCCGCACTGTCCCCACCCCCCGCAGCACCATCCCCATGGCCCAGACTGGCAGCTGAGCTGGAGGGTCACAGCCCAGCCCAGGGAGAGCGGCTCACCAGGACTGCAAAACACCCGTAGCAGAAATGCGGATGTGGAGGCCATGGGAACCTCGATTCCCAAGTGGTCCCGCTCCTCTCTGCCGCCGGGGCTTCCCCTGCAGCTCTGTCTTGTGTCCTGCCCCGGCGGCTCTGTCACTCGTGTCCAGGGTCAGTGACACCAGCACACGGGGGTCCTGGGAGTTTAGGAAGTTGTGGGCTTGTGAACACGTGTAGTACTGTATCTGAACACCGGGGGGCAGCATGCACTTCTGTGTATACACGTGTGTGTGTGTGTGTGTGTGTGTGTGTGTGTGTGTGTGTGTGTGCGTGCGCATGCCTGTACCAGAATATTAGGCGCAGGTGCGTCTGTGTCAGTGTGTGCATGCATGTGTGTGTGTGTCTGTATGCCTGTACCAGAATATTAGGCACAGAGGTGTGTGTGTGTGTGTGTGTGTGCACGTGCCTGTACCAGAATATTAGGCACAGGTGTGTGTGTGTGTGTGTGTGTGTGTGTGTGTGTGTGTGTGCGCGTGCCTGTACCAGAATATTAGGGGCAGGTGTGTGTGTTTGTGTGTGTATGTCAGTGTGTGTGTACACATATGTGTATGTGTGTGTGTGTGCATGCCTGTACCAGAATATTAGGGGCAGTTGTGTGTGTGTGTGTTTGTGTTTGTGTGTGTGCATGCATGTGTGTGTGCATGTCTGTACCAGAATATTAGAGACATGGGGGGGTGCACATATGCACATGCATCTGAGCACCAGGGGCAGTGAGTGTATGTGGGTGTGCACTAGGGGACAGGTGTGTGTGTGTGTGTGTGTGTACGTGTGTGTATATCTGAGCACCAGGGGCAGAGTGTCCATGTGTGGGTTTTTTGCATGCACAATTGCACACCTGTTACCTTCTGACCAGGGTTTTGCATGAGCCAGGCACATGCTGTAGCCATCTGCGCCTGTTCACTTTGGGGCTGGCTCTTTGGTGGGCGTTATAAGAAAGGCTCCCCAAGCAAGTGGCTCTTCCAACATCCTTGGCAGCCCTGTAGCTCTGCTCACATATTCACGCATGGCCTCTAGGACATGTTAAGAAACCACCTGCACTTGGCCAAAGAGGCTGTGAAAATGAAGCAACAGAACAGTTCACAGGTTCTCAACTTTTCATAGACCCCTCATTCCACAACTGTAATGAACTGAGCAGTTTCAAACAACTGATTCCACCCAGTTCTTCTGCCTATGGAAAAATACTAGAGCAAGTCGTTCATTGCCAAATGTGCAAAAAGACCACAGCAGGCAGGATGGATTCCTATCGGGAACCTGTAGGCCTATCTCATGAATCACGTGCAGGTGTTTGCATAGCTACTAGCTCTAATTTTGAACAGCACCACATGCCACCCTTTGGAGGACTGGAACTGGACTGTTCTCAGCGGGGGCAGATGACAGAACAAGGAGCAATGGGCTCCCGTTGCAGCAAGAGAAGATGAGGTTAGATCTTAGGAAAAACACTCTCACCAGGAGGGTGGTGAAGCACTGGAACAGGTTACCCAGAGAGGTGGTGGAGTCTCCATCCTTGGAGGTTTTTAAGGCCCGGTTCAATAAAGCCTTGGCTGGGATGATGTAGTTGGGGCTGGTCCTGCTCTGAGCAGGGGGTTGGACTCGATGTGACCCCCCTGAGGTCCCTTCCAGCCTCATTTTCTAGGATTCTGTGATTCTAGGGATCTCACGGCCGCCACCCAGTGCTCAGCAGAAGCAGCGCTCCTGAAGTACTTTGTGAAGCTGAACATCAGAGAGAAATCCAGCTGGTCTCCTTTCCACATGACGAGCAAGGAGGTTAGACCTTGGCTGGAATATCCTGCAGAGAGCAACAGCCTGCAGCCTGCATGCACTACAATGTCACAGAAATGACCACCAGCAAATAGCACTTTTTGTCTTAATTTTTAACCTCCCCTCTCTCCCCCCACAGCATTTCCATTGCACATAGCCCCACTGCAATTTTAATATAGTCCTGGTGTTTTCACCCCTACCATACAGAGCTTTTCCCATCGGAGATACTCAGATGGAATTACTAACTAGACGCTCGGCACCAACTGCTGGCCAGTTTTACCTAAGCCCCGCGCTGAGGTTATTCTGTTTTCAGCTTGCTTATAACCATGGGAGAGGCACGTTGGCTCCTACTGGACGCAGGCAGCATTTTTCAAAAGGTAACTTTGCTGCAAAATCCATCTTTTCAGGTGACTGAGGTAGAACCCAGTGCCCTGCTTGGGCTGGGACAAGAAAGAGCTATTGGAAAAGCTTGACTCAGGTTTCAGCACTGAGGAAGGATTGAAAGAACTTGTTTGGTGGGAAGGGGACTTAAGTTATTTTTAAAGGGATTTTAAAGGGGTTTAGTAATAAGAAACAAAGCACTTTGGTTGAGCCGGGATAATTTTCTGGTCCAGCCACCAAACTGGAACCCAGCATAGTTTGCACAGCTCGGTTTGAACAAGGACAATACTTGCAGTGCCTGAGAGGTTGTCCTGTCCAGGGGGTAGAGAGCATCTCCTGGTGGGGAAGGGATGGGCTGGCCTACACTTGGGTTGTTGCTGGCTGCTGCTGCCTCCTAACACATGGAAATCCCTAAGCCTTGGTCAGGATCCCACAAGCAAGCAAGGGACTGGGCAACAACGCTGTTGGGACGTCCGTGCAGCAAGGCTGTCCTGCCGTGTGAGTTGGAGGCCTTAGCATGGCCACGCTGGAGTAACAGGATGGAGGATGGAGTTTCATATCCAGCTTCTGACAAGTCCACAGAGCTGTCAGTCGTGGCCCAGTAGCGCTTGTACCCAATGCGCTGGGTGCTGCGCATCCCCTTCGTGAGAGCCTGCCTGCCCCAGAGAGCTCATCATCTAATGAGACAAAGCAAACAGGCAGAGGAAGGGACTTGCCCTTGACCACGCAGTCAGTCGGTAGCAGAGCTGGGTATCCTTTGGGCCAGCCTGGTGCTCTCCTGAATGCTTTCTGGGAGGCCTGCTTCCTACCAGCGTGACGGGACTTTTCCCCAGAGATGTTCTGGGCTCTAGAGTGTCCGGCCTGGTTGGATGATCCGGGTTCAAGATTGTGCACTCTAGAACCGAGATCCTGCTCAGATGTTCGGGGTCCTAGACCATCCGGCCGGGTCAGGTAATCTGGGTTCTCAAACCCCAGCACTGCCCAGCTGTAGCATTCAAGTTTTTTCCCCTTCTTCCGAAAATGTCTCTGTTTGCAGAACTTCTTGGCTCCTTGCCTCACAGCTCTTCCTCAGGTCTGGAACGCCAGGCCCCACACGTCTCCTGGACCGTCCTAGACTGTAGTGCCCTGTTGCCCCTGTGCCTGTAGCATCCCCAAATTCGAGAGCACCGTGCCAGTCGGATTTCCGGAGCATTCAGATTTTGCATTGCAGAATGCCAAACACCCTGGTTTTTAGAGCTCACATTCTCATGGAGCAGCAAGACAGGGCAACCATAAAAGCCACGATGGAGAAACAGCCCCTGGCAGAGGTGTGCAGAGAAGGTGGGAGACTCTCAGCAGAGACTACAGGAAAGTGAAAGAAGGAAGTTTTGGAGGAAGAACGGTCCCAAACCCAGAAGCCCCAGTGCTGCACACAGCCGGAGGTCTCTGCACTCCCACACCCGTCATGGAGGAAGGCCTCGGACTCTGTGCGTGGCCTCACGCTGCAGCCGACCTCATTGCAATGAGGCTTTGCCCTTCCGCATCAGATATTGAGGACTTTCCAAGGGGATTTCCTTAGGTTCGTACTTGAGCCGCATACAGCCAGGAAAGGCAGGAAAGGAAAGTCTTCACCCCACACTGAAATGCAGCCACTCTGGAGTGGGGACGAGCATGATGGTATACTGCTATGGGCCAGTCACAGGAGGGGAACCTAGTGCTCCCCCCTGCTGTCCCCACTGGTGACACTGGCTACCTGGGGGGGCAATACAGCCAGGGGCATGGAGAAAGAGGAATCGCCAGCCCTCCTCCATCCCCAGGAGCCTAAGATAGGCCCCAGTCTGTGGTCAGCACCGCTGAGAGTGGGGGAGCTCACAGAACGGGGTCTCTCGGGCTTGGAACTGGAGGAGGCTGGAGCCGTAGCTGGAGCCCTGCACAACTGGAGCGCCATCTGCACAGCCCGAGCTCCATGTAGTCACCATAGAGACATCTTGCCTGCTGAGGGCTATGCCGGAGGCAGAGGAGGGCTGCCCATGGGGACAGAACATGGGGGGATGAAGGGCAGGCAGGTTCTGCCCCCCCACCCCATGCACACACATGCGACCGTGCAAGCACACACCTGGCCAGGCACATGGGGACAGACAGGTGCAGAGCAGGGGCTTACAGGAGCAGGCTGACGTGACCGAGTGGGAAGGAGGGAAATAGAGGACTTGTGTTTTCCAGCTGGAGAGCAGGCTTTGCAATTCAATGCAACCTTCATGTCCAGCCTGTGTATATGCTTATGAACAGGCACATGTATGTGCCTATGGCTGTGTGTATATACAGTGGTATATATAACAGCTACAGACAGTGTCATGGGAAAGCAACTTTGTGCATGGAATCGATGCCACATAATTAGTATTAACAGTCCCTATTAAACCAGTGTCTGATATGGCTATGCAGATAGATCACTTCTCTCTCTCTCTCTCTGTACGACTAGACAGAATAAATGTATTTAAGATGTTATAATTTTTCCTAGCTCTGTATAAATATTGTGTTCTTATTAATATATTTGTGTAATAGATACAGAATATGAGAGAGAGAGACTGGTGTGTGTGTATGTGGCTGAATGGATGGCTGGTTGGACGGATGGATGGTCAGCTGGCTGGATGGGTGGATGGATGCATAGATGAATAAACAGCTGGCTGGCTGGATGAATGGCTAGCTGGCTGGCTGGCTGGCTGGGTGAATGTATGGTTTTACACCAGAACTGCACACTGGGACTGACTGTTGTTTGTGCCCCTGAGGCTCGGCCTGGGTTACGGACACAGGTCACAGACATTCCCCAAGACATTCCCCAATTTCAAGTGAGAGCAGGACCCACGGGCGGTTTCAGTGGAAGCTACGTGGGCACTGCACTAGGGTGCCCGGTCACAGGATTGGTGTGTGGATGCTGGCAGGAGCCTGGGGAAAGCAGGTTTAGGGGTGACTCTGGGAGCTGTCACATTTGGGGAATTTTGCAGGGCCAGGCTGCCACTTGCTGCACCCATGGAAGCAGAGCAGGGCATTGAGGCATGGCCTTGTCCTGGCCTACCCAGGGGGAACTGGGACTTTCCTGCTCTGGCAGGACCTGGAGAACTGGAGACTGATGACTTCTAGTCCTGGGCATCGTCCCAGCCAAGACTAATCGCAGATGGGTGGGCCTAGCTGGAAAGAGCAGGGGTGGAGCAGTCCTGCCACTGGGAGTGCTGGGGCAGAACTATGTGTTACTGGAGGAGGGTGCAGAGAAGGGGCTGGCCCCATCCTGGAACCACCACTTTGTGAGTCCAGGCAGCATGTCCAAAGCAATGCAACGTAGAGCTAGAGCGAGGGAGAAGGTGGCTTGCTCTCTGTCTAAAATGTCTATTGAAATATATAAATGTCTATAAAGGAAAATCTATATATTTTATTAGGGAGAATTAACAGAATGACTGAGCACTTTGTTGGAGGAGGTGGGGGCAGAGGGGTGGAGGCAAAAGTTTCTGGCAACCAAGGGGTAAATTCAGGAGATCCCAGGGAAATCCTTGAGACAGGGAAACTTCCATGGGAAATGTCTAAGGCTGGCAGTAGCTTGTGTTGAAATGTTGTGGAGATGGGCTGGTGCACTTGGGATGAACCATTTGTTGTCAGAAGTTTGGCTGTTTAACTCTGAAACCTGAGTGGAAAGACAGGTGAACCATGTGGTTGGACTTTTAGCCCCAAACCGTTGAAATTTTGACAAAAGTACTTATGGAGAAGTTCATTTCTGACCCAGGACATGCAAAAAAATAGATGCTCATGCCTTTTGCTACAGGTGGGAAGAAGTAGTGATGGAAACCGTTTACTCATTATTCACAGCTGAGAAGTGTAACCCCAGAGCTGAACCCACATCAGAGGTGGGCAAAAGAGCTGCAAGAAGAAGGTGGCCTTTGCCAGGATCTGAACCATGGACCCAGCAACTGGGGCACCTGGCTGAGATGTTTGAATGGACGCACAGCGCTGGGTCTGTGGTTCAGATTCTGGCAAAAGCCACCTTCTTCTTGCAGCTCTTTTGCCCACCTCTGATGTGGGTTCAAATGAAAGGTCACTGGTCCCTAATTAAACTCATCCTCGGCCTGCTGAGAGAAGGCTCAGAGGCCTGACTGGCAGCTGCTTGCTTAAGCAAGAGGTAGCAGGGCGCAGTCCTTGGAGAAAGTGAAAGGTGGCAAGGATGCATTGCCATTTAACGATAATCACATGTAAAACCTTGAGACATTTTCTATGTAATCACTGCCCACAGCACCCCAAGCCCCGTCCCCGGGGGGCTGAGCTGTGTGCTTTTAATACGGCATTTAATACCAGCTTCCCGGCACCAAATCAAAGTGGCTTAGTGGTATGAGAAATGCAGTAGTCGGCTAATTGCCGCAGTAACCCTAGGCTTGGGTGTGTACCTGGTGTGTGCACCTCTGCGGGGACACACCTAACAGTAAAGCAAACCCCGTCCTGCTAATTTAGCTGATCTTTACATTAACATCGTTGTTTCCAAAAGAACAGACCAGCTCCGCGTGTGCTTCGCCTGTTAATTCTGCACTGTACTACGAACAATTATATATATGTGGTGTATATATATATATATAATTAGGGAAGGAGCATTTTTATCCACTGGACAGACTGCGCACTAAAAGTCAGATTTTATTTCAGGGGGGAAAATGTTTTATTTGTTGTTTTTTCCCCTCTGTTCAGAAGAAAGGGGAAAAAAAAGGTACTAAATAAAAATATGCAAATTTTAGGTCTGTTTTGGGTGTCGTGACTTGGGTTTGCCAATAGGGCACGTATGGGGGCAGGTTCACATTGGCACAGGCGTCTGGATGCAAGTACCAGACCTGTCAGTCCCTGGCCAGCTCCTTGCCGCAGACCGGCTGAGTCTCCAAGAAGCTGGGGCGTCAACTCAGCTGGCAGCTGGATGGGCCCTTCCAGCTGTGAGGTCTCCTGCCACAAGCAGGGTCCCGAGACATCAGCATGACAGCTCCTGAGACCCCTGCGCCCCTGCCCCGGGGCTGAGCGAAGCAGCAGGGCCAGGGTTTGCCTAACAGCGGGGCGTCAGCAGGAGGGGAGGGTTAATCACTGCAGTGCCCAACTCATGCCGTTGGGTGGATTGGACCCTGAAAGCATGGACACCTGCCCATGCAGCAACCCCAAGGCCAGCTAAGTGACACGTGGCGGGATGGGGCCCTGGATGTCTGGACGCTCTGCTTCTGCAGGGGCTGGCACATCACCCCCACAACCTAGCGGGCAGGGGAAGGTGAAGGGGGGGAACATGCTCCATCCTACAGCCCTGTGATGAGGGGGCTCCCCCTGAAGCTGGAGACCCAGGTCTCCCAACCTAGAGCTCCAGCGCTTATGCTGGGGATGGGCATTGCCCAGCTCCAGGCTCCTCTGAGCCACTGCCCCTGGCAGGCAATAGGGTAACACGGAGGGGGAGCAGCGGAGAGGGGAAGGGTCTGCCCCTTTGGGGAGCAAGCGCCAGCGCAGAACCAGGGCCTGCTCCCTTTAGGGTAGCTGCCACCCACCAGCCATTCGCCCTCCGTTCGCTTACTCGCTTCCTTCCGGCTCCCAGGGGCCTGGGGGTGGGATTGGAGGTATGTCCGATTTGTGGCCAGGTCAGTAGAGCATCAGACTGCGAACACAGGAGCGCTGCAGGTTCATGCCCCTCTGGGCAGTGGGTGCCTCCCATGCTGGGTGAGCAAGTTCATAGGTACCAGTACCTACCTAGGGCAGGCCAGGCCCAGCTCAGCAGGCTGAGTTCCCATCTACGTGGCTCTCCCATGTCCCCCTGGGTGCCCACCCGTCACTGTCAGCAGGGCAGAGCTGTGCCCATGTCCATTGGTACCATGGGCCAGTGCCCAGAAGAGCATGATGGTGCTGGCCACTGTGGTGGGCATCTGTGCCCCCCTGCATCAGCCAAGCCAGGTTCAGCAATGCCTTGAGAGTCCCTGGCCCAGGACTGGGGGAGCAGCATCACCAGGATCACGGCATGTCCCACAAAGCGGGTGCCCCTTGGGCCCCACAGGGAGACACACCACCCTGGGGTCTGTGCAGCCCCCCATGCCCTCAGCTATGGGCAGAGAGGCAAAGGGCAAGTGATGGTGGGGTTGGGGGAGGAAGGGGTGGGGCAGGGGGTGCTGGGTGGGCTGTGCTGGGGGAGGGGTCACGGGGAGACTGTGATGGGGCCTCCAAGCCTCTGGGTCTGCAGGCTCTGCAGAGGGCACAGGACAGGCAGTCATTGCATCCAGCCTCAAGCCCCCCCAGGGCAGGGCACGGCTCCATGGTCCCAGCGGTGGAGAAACCAGGACTCCTGAGACCCACTGCCCAGCTCGCACCGCTGCACCCCACCGGCTCCGCTGTGAGAGAGCAAAGCCCGTGTCCTGACCGTCAGCCCTGCCCGCCCGAACGCCTGCGCCTCCCTCCCGCCTGGATGGCACACACCGGGCCCTTGTTGTTGAGGGACGCAGCTACACTTCCCCGACCTAGCGGCACCATCACAGAGCACCTCCTCAGCACCCCTGTTTTTTGCCCACAGGCCTGGCTCCAGCGATGCAACGCGGCCTGGTGGAGAGGGCCCTGAGCACTGCTCCTCATGGGGTGGGCACAGGGGGTGCTCCCTTCCCTTCTGCACACCAGGCCTGCCCCACAGCCCCTGCCCCAGGGTCCCCTCGGCACCCGCTGATGCCTGTGCAGCTGGCTCTTGGCCAGCATCTCCAAGCAGTGCACCAGGTTCGTGGCAGTACGTCCAGCCAGATTTACCCCAAAGGAGATCCCCACATCCCTCCAGGCATGACGGCCCCAGGCATTGGGCAGACACATCCACCAGGAAGGCTTTCACCCAGTGAGCAACAAAGGCAGCAGAGACCCTGGAGGCTCACTCCTGTATCTCATGTCCTGCCACTGCACAAAGCTCGGTGGGTCTCCGGACCCCCGGCCACCCCAGGGCTGGACTTGGTGTCACCTCCCACCACCAAAACCCCTCCGTGCTTCCAGGGCCATGCCTCACTCCTTGGCCTCCACCCTGAAGGTCATGACCAGCAGCCTCTGGGCATCAGCGGCCACGTCGTCCACAAAGTTCCTCAGCATCTTGTACGTGGTGGCAAAGGACAGAGCAGTGGAGGCCACGGAGCCCAGCACTGGGATGGCCGTGAGCACGTTGGGAGCCAGCGTGGGGGCCTCAACCCCCACGTCCTTCAGCCGCTGCACCACCAGCATGCCAGACACCTCGCTGGCCAGGGGCGACCGGACCACGGCCTTCAGCTGCTCCACTGGCTGCACCGTCTGTGCTGCCAGCCTCTCCAGGGAGTCGTGGTCCAAGCCGAAGCCTTTGCAGTAGCCCTGCAGCGTCCTGGCCAGGAGGTCCACGTCACAGGAGACGAGGAGCCCTGGGATGGGCACGGCGTGGAGGCCACAGGCCACGGTGGAGACCAGCCACATGTGCTCCTGCATGGCAGCTTTCTTCTGCTCCAGGATGTGCCGGGAGAGGCCCGGCAGGGCCAGCAGGAGGGCACGCCGCTTGTGGTGGCTCAGCTCCTTCTCCAAGGTATCCTGCATGAGGTGGAAGTCGTACTTGCCCAGCTTAAAGGCAGAGAGCAGGAAGACCCTGGGTGATTCGATCCCTTGGGCTCGCAGGCCCTCCTCACAGTCCTTCCGGATCGTCTGCAGCACCCCCGCCTTGCTGTAGCTGGCCGGCCGGCGCTGGAGGGAGGAGGTCAGGTCCATGTCCACCTTGGAGCGGACAAAGTAGAAGCTCTTGCCCGTGCCCTGGATGTGGCGAGCCAGCGCGGCGTGGTGGGCCGTGAAGCGCTGCGAGGCGATGATGATGAAGAAGTCGTAGCGTGAGAAACCAACCTGCTCCAGGTAGGTGTCCGGGGGGGTGCCAGGCGTGCCGATGCCCGGCAGGTCCCAGATGGTCACGCCGGGATAGCGGGGATGCTGGTACGGAGTTGGCTCCCGCGTGGTCTCTACCACCCCGGTGCGGGCGGCTCCTGCATCCTCATCGCCCAGCCCCCGGAGCGCGTTGACAAAGGACGACTTCCCGGAGCCCGCCTCGCCCGTGATGCCCACATCCAGCCGGACACTTTCCAGGAATACCAGCATCTCCTGCAGTTTGGAGGCGGTGGCCGGGAGGCTCCCCTGCTCGAAGGCGACTTTCAGGGCCTCCACCTCCTCCGCAGACAGCCTGAGGACGTCCTTGGGGGGCTGAGCAGCCATGGTGGCTCCCACTGGCTCTGCAGCCCCTGCCTCATGGGAGGGAAAGGCCGATTCTTCACGTGAGGGGGCAGGGTCAGCTGAGACCCTCACCGAGGTCCCTGGTCACTGCAGTTCTCCCAGGGGTTGCCCCTTCTCTGCTGGCCTGCCCAGCCCAGCCCAGTGCCAGCAGCACCTTGCCCTCAGGTCTACCCCCTGACACCAGGGCAGGCAAGGGATTGCTGATGTCACACCAGGGGCCATGAGGTCACACGAGCTCATGATCCAGAAGGAGACTTTCCCCAGTCACTGGACAGTGCAAGGCTCCCAGGATGGCTCCTGGTGAAGCTAGAGGAGACAGGTGCTGGACGGCAGGAGGGTCTCTTAGCCTGACCAACACATGGCTGAAGTCCCTTTGCTCTAGACCAGGGGTTCGCAACCTTTTTCAAGCTCGAAGCACCCCTCTTTGGACCCATGACACCCCCCGTTAGGCTCGAGGTCCCCTCAGCAGATGCCAGCTCTTCGTTTTCACTCGGTTTTGGATTACAGAAAAGTCCCTGAGCAATTCTGTTGCAAAGAGCTCGGGAAGACACAAGAGGGCAGCCTGTTCCTCGCCCTCCGGGCTCCTATTTGACACCCCCAGGTTTATCCTGGGAAATGTGTTTGCACCCCTACCAGTGCTAGCATGGCATGGCACCTTGCAGGATCTCAAAGCACCCCAGGGTACCCCTGGCTAAGACTCGCTGCTCTAGCCACTGATCCGCTCTGAAGGCCAGGAATAGAAGTCGGGAGTCCTGCCTCTGTGCTCCCTTGTGCCCTTCCACCCCGTCCCTCCCAGACACAGCTGTGCAGGCCCCCACCAACCCCTGGGGCCGGCTGCTCACATGCGGATGGGGTTGGTGCCAGTCCTGCTCTGCCCGGCACACGGGTGCTCGGACCCAGGGGCATCTGCTGGCCCACGAAGGGCTGGGATGAAACCGTGACCACATCTCAGCTTTACCTGTCGATTGGCCTGTTGAGCCATCTTATGTGACATCAGCAGGCATGGCGCCATGCCATCATGCCATCACTCATTTGCATACAGGGCTCCTGGTTGCAGGTGCTGGGTTTGGGCTGACTGGTCCATCATCGCAGAGCTGGGTACCCCTGGCAGGTCACTGGCACATTCAGGGCCCAGCAGGAAATGGCCAGGCCAGCCTCACACTGCTTGTTTCAAGCTGTGATGGACAGGACTCACAGGCAGCTGTGAAGGCCTCAAGGAGAGTATGGCACCGCTGCTTCACTGGGCATTGGGGCAGCACAGGGGTCTCTGCTGTCTGGTGCCAGTGGTGGCTACTGCACTTGGGAGCATTTGCAGCTGATGCCCCTGGTGCTTCCAGCCTGGGCATTTCGACTGTTGCCTGTGCTGCAGAAGCCTGGTGCTGGCCATGCCCACCCCAGTGCAGGCGAATGTGTGCTCTGCATTTCCTTTGTGGGGCGGGGGAAAGCTGCTGTCCTCAGCACTGGGGGAGAGGGGAGGCTGCAAGGAAGATCTGCTGGGTACTTAGCCACTGTGGGTCAGAGCTGGGGCTGGACAGGCCAGCAAGGCATGAGCACCCTCCTCCCTTGGGCACTGTCCAGAACGCGTGGAGACCATGACAGGCCCCATGCTCCCAGCAGGGTGGACAGAGGCCTCTGCCAGCTTCGCCAAGGCGAGTGCTTCCACCACAGCTGCGTGCAGCGGCCCCTGTGCCCTGAGCAGCGAGGTTTTTGCGGGCAGCAGTGTGCGCACAGACAGTCAGGGCCTGGGGCAGCCCCAGGGTCCTTCGTGCAGGGTGGGGTGGTGGTGGAGCAGGCCCATGGGAAAGTACCAGCACCTAGTGCATCCACACTCACTAGGAGCCACTGGTTGCCACCAGGCTGCAAAGCACTGAGCTGGGGTTATGTGAAGAGCAGTGGTGGAGAGGGGACCAGTGCCTGGAGCCTGTGCAAGCTCTTTTCTCCCCTTGACACTGGGGTGCTCAAGGCAGGGATGGACTCCTGATCAGGAGGAGCAGAGGAAGGTGGTGGAAGAGATGCCCCAAGCCCAGACCAAGGCACAGCCAGCAGCGGTGTCTTGCAAAGCCACTGGTGGGACTGAACAGGCGCCCTAGGCCCAGCTGACAAACCCATCGCTGCCCCAGGGGGGTCAGAGGTGTGCTCTGCCTGGCAGCTGGGGCTGCTCTGCAAGAGTCACACTGGGACACTGGGCTATAGCCCAGCTTAATACAGCTAGTAATGGGCACCTTTCCTGGCTCTGAGGACATGCCCCACAAAGGTGGGGGAGCAAGACCCTTCCCCAGCAGCCCCCTCGCTATTAGCCCTGTTGCACAGGGGACCCTCTGCAGCTCTGAGCCCAGGTGACTGGGTGGAGGCAGCTCCCAGGGATGGGCTAGCAGGGGGCTGGCACCAGCTCCTCTGGGGCAGGAGCTGGGCCGGCAAGGCAATGGGGCCACAGCCACCTGGGCTGATTCCACCTCATGGCACAGCTGGGGGGGGTCTCAACCCTTCTGAGACATAGAGCCCATCCCCCTGCTACTCCATAAGGAGCCCAGACCCAGTCTTGGGTCCTCACAGCATGGGCACAGCCCAGCCACACTTCCCCCAGACCCTCCAGGCACCAGGGAAGGAGGGGGCAGCGTGGAGGCAGGACACAGGAGGCAGGCTCGCACAAACAGATTTATTTCCAGGTAGACGTTCAGTAGATCACAGGAGTTTGGTACAGCTGTGGCAACACACGACCCAGCCCAGGGCAGCCCAGCAAGACCCCGTGACAGCTGCAGCCTAGGTCCATCTGCCCAAGTGGTGGTGGGGGGAGGGGGAACTTCCCACTTGGGCTTCAACCCCGGAGATCAGCCAGCCTCGCTTCCCAGGAAGCGCCTGGGCTCCCTGCACCTGCCTTCACGGCTGCCCTCCTTACCATGTCTGTGGCTCTAGTCCCCATCGCCCTGGGTCTCAGCCATGACTGGCCAGACCCCTCCCTGGCTGTGATGATAGGGTTACCACTTGGGCTGCTTCCAGTCCCACTGGCCGTCCCCACTCGGAGCTACAACCAGGTTTCATTCATACAACAGCACCACACACCACAGCCAGCGTAATGGAGGCCAGGCTCCCACTTGCAGCAGCCTGACCCCTCAGGTCTACACAAGAGCCACTGTGGGGAAACGCCAGGCTGCCAGCACCAGTGTGGAGCTGGCGGGAGGAACTAGCAGCAGGCAACTGAGCCATGGGCTGCCCAGAGGAAAATATCGGGGCTGCTCCCTCCGTCACCTGCCCAACTGGCCCCACTGACATGGCCCACAGCAGCATTCGCACTATGCAAGCCATAGCTCCTATCAGCGTGGATTGCCCCCCTGGGCAGAGCAGAGCTGTGCAGAAGGCAGCTCCATCCCACACTGGAGTGGCAAGGATAGCTGTGCTGGTGTGAGGCAGGCAGGGCCACACCAGGGTGGGAGGTTGCTCCAGACACAATGCCTCCCAGACCTTGCCCCCACAGCAACACTCACTGCAGGCCAAGGCCAGGTGAGGGCACAGGACTTTGTCAGGCCCCGCTGAACAGCCACAGGGATGTCAGAGGCCACGATGATGCTCTTCCAGCTCTCCCCCCACACCGGCAGGCTCTGGTGATGCCAAGGGGGAAGCCCCAGCCCAATCCTCTCCAGCCACAAAAGTGAGGTCAAGCTGCCTGTCTTCAGTGCTGGGGCGCAGGGGAGAAGGCCACAGGCTAGTCCCAGAGCACGTATCTCCTTCATCATGCCTGCCCCCAGCACGAGGCAAGCAACATAGCAAAGCGCAGAAGAGGCCAGAGCCCTTGCAAGATGTCAGCTGCTCCTGGAGGACAGGCCGAGGGTTCGTGTGAAGCAGCCACCTTTGCACAGGTGGGCAAGAGGATCTGCAGAACAGCAATGTTCCCTGACATCAGGGGGAAAGGGGTGCGGGGAGGGTTGGGTGACACGGAAAAGGCACCATGGAGAGCTTTAAAAAAAACTGACAGCTAAAAACGCTGAGGCAGGGCCCGGGATTCAGGGCACAGGCGCAGCAGTCCTGGGGGAAGGAGGAAGGCAGGGCCAACTCGCCGCGCGGCAGGTCCAGCCGGCACTCACACCAGGAAGGACGACGTCTGTTTGAATTCTCCCTGGGGAGCAAGAACAGAGAGAGGCTCAGATGTGGTGGACGCCTCCGCACACCAGCAGATTGCTGCCTGTGGTCCCCCCACACCTCCCATGGCTTGATGCGCTCCGACAGAGGCAGCATGGAGGGAGCAGGCTGGGAACCCATGTCCTCATGGCTCTGCCACTGGCCATGGAGCATGGATGGGGCTGCGTTAACACAGTCTGTGCCGGCCCAACAGCGGATGGTGGGAGTGTTGGCTCAGCGGGATGCAAGGCATAAAGCAAGGGCTCTGCCAGCTCCAGCGGGGGTCTTTCAGCCTCCTCGGCCCTGACACGGGTCAGGGCCATGGCAGGCAGGGCCTGGGTGGCACGATTCTGGGGGTGACCCAGCACATCCCTGCCCTGCAGCCCTTTCTGTGCAAACCTCCTCTGCCTGGGGCTCTAAGCGGCCCCACAGTCCAGTGCACTTGACGCTGAGGGCAGGAGAGAAACACAGACAGGAGCCCTCTGCTCCTGGGCCCCACCTCTGGCTCTCAAGCCAGACCTGCCTCCACACCTCATGGTGCTGGGGTCTCAGCATAGAGACCGTTTGTCCCTCAAGTGGCAGATGACTCTTTAAGCAGCACGTGAGCAAGGAGCTCAGTTCCCACTATCTGGGGGCTAACAGGCATGTGAGCCCAGTGGCCTTGCCAAGAGCACCTCAACACCCTTCTTAACCTAAGAGACACCTTCAAGTACTGGGCCCTTGAGTGAGGCGCTTCTAGTTGCTGTTGAAAGCTGGACGCTGGTGCTTCCGAAGCATTGTGCCAGCCTAAGATGGAGGCATGCGGAAGCAGCCAGCACTTTGAGTGCCCCTGCCAGGGTCCGGCCCATTGGGGTAGCTCAGAGGGGTTTTGCCTTCCTCTGCCATGCAGGGGGTGGTGCACCTCTGCCTTGGATCTCCAAGTGCATTTTAACACCCCTTGCAGCAGCAGGACACTACCTGCCCTTGTTCCCCTGCTTTCCTTGGGGCAGGTTCAGGGGATCTTGCTGTCTTTGGCCACAGATTCAGGAACAGGTCAGACAGACACTTGCCTGAGATGGTTTGATGGAGACAATCCTGCCTCAAGCAGGGGCTTAGACTAGATGCACCCTCCAGAGGGCCTTGCCAGCCCAGCAACTCCAGGATTTTATGATACCGAGGGCTGCAAAGCATTTAAAGGCCCAGCAGACATGACAGCGCTAGTAGGTAGGGATCCTCCACCAGGCCAGGTCAGGCCCTGAAGGATTATCCCCAATGCCGGGGGGCAAGTGAGCCTGCCAACTCCACCTGCCATGTGAGTTATGCAGCTCGGGGTACTCCACTGCCTCAGCATTCCTGGCCACTCCCTGCACGTCACCTTCCCTTTTGTATGAGCAAGGGACCAGGGCAAAGCAGCAAAACAACCTGCCCAGGGTCCTCCAGGAAGTCAGTGGTAGAACAGGGAATCAAAGCAGTTTCCCAGCCCGACAGTGCTCTTGCCTTGGACCAGCCCCTTCTTACAGGTGCAAAGGCCAAGGCTTTCCCCTGGGCTCCAGCTCCAGTAAGCCAAGCTGCCAGGTAACATGCCCACCACTCTGCCCTCTCTCCATGCAAGGATCAGGATCATCTATTGCCTAAGCTGGGGCTGGCCAAGTCCGTGTGTACTGCACCATTTGCAAAAGGCCAGAGCCAGCCCCAACCTGCAGGCTGCATGAGGACCTGTGAGATGGGAGCCAGCTCTTGCTGCTAGAGAAAGGAGGGGAGGGGAGGGGAGTACTTACATCACTCCTTTGGGAAGGCTGGCTGTAAATTACTTTCTTGTTGGTGCTTCTAGAGAGAAGAGAGTGGGGATCAGATGTATGATGCAAAGGTCTGCTCTCTCTTAGGCCCACCCAGCAATAACAGCTGCTGCTCCCCAGCTGCTGTCAGAGGCTCTCAATTTCAAGCCTTTTCCCCATCGAGTGCCCAGCTCCCTCGGGGGCTCTCCCCACACTGGCCAAGAGGCCGCAGACTGCCCTGCTCCACAGGGGATTGTGACCAGGACACTCCCACGTTTTGCTTCCTGGGACAGCAATTGGTGGCAGCGTCTCCCTGAAGTCTGAGAGGCTGCAGAAAAATCACACTCAATGGGGGCCATGAAGCAGACCCCAGGGGATGGCTGCAACAGCAGTGGTGGGTCGTGGGAAAGGGTGACTGGTGGCAGGGAAAGCAGAAAGATGCTTCAGAGGCAAAGAGGAGAAGTCAGAGTTGCCTGAGCCCAAACCCCATGAAACAGGAGTCCAGCAAAGGATGGGCTATGGCAGTGAGACATTAGTCATCAGCACTGGCACCCTGCACTCCACCAGCCCCAGGGAAGATCCGAGGTGAATGTGAACGACTCGGGAGGAGGTGGGGTCTCTGCGCTGACTCCCGGCTGCCCAGAGAACACCGTCCCCGCTCCCCAGCGCCAGCTGGCGGGTCCCAGCAGGGAGGCTTGCACAGAGCAAGCCGCCGGCGGGGAGGGAACGGAGGTTCCACTTACTCTTTTCTTTCTGAAAAGGAAAAAAGAAAGGAAGCAGGACAGTTAAATGCCAACACCGAGCACCACATTCCCCACCACCACACCTGCCCTGGACTGCTCTAGGCAAGAAAAGTCCCACGGGCCATCATGTTTCTGTGGGCCCCCAAATCACGAGACTCAAGGAGTGGGAGCCTTGCATGACAGACCTCTCCAACAGAAACTCCAGGTCCCAGGAGGCATCACCCCACCCAGAAGCTGCCAGGAGAAGGGGAGGGCAGAGCCTGGAGGGCAGTACTCACTGTTGAAGTAGCCGCGGCTGTAAGCAAACCAGATGCCGAAGGCTATGAGCCCCAGGAGGATCAGCAGCACCACCACGGTGGCTACGATGGCACCCACGTTGAGTTCACCTGGGTGGAAGAATCGCATTAGTGTCAGACAGAGACCAGGCATGCATGCAACACCACAGCACCCCAGCCCCCAACAGCTGCACGCTGCATTGCCAAAGGCGCGCAGAAGAACACTGCTCCAGCTCAAAGACCTCAGGCAGGGCAAGGGACATCAGCACCTATTCTGCAGTGATGGAGGCGCAAGGAGCCAGCTGGGGATTTGGATGAGCACAGCAAGGGAAAGGCAGTTTGAGGTGGGAAGTGAAGTGACTGGCTAGACCTCTAGTCTGCACCGTGGGTCCGGCAGTTAAAGCCACACCACACAGCTGCAGCGGTTTGGAGGGGAGGAAAGCTGCGTGATACTTTTACCCCAATGTCTGGCTGACCCACAGGGTAGAGGCCCAGGTTAGTCTAAGCATGCCTCAGGCCAGTCCAGCCCACTCAGCCCCTGGCACGCTGGCTCTCCCTCAGCAAGCATCCCTCCCTTCCCAGCCTGGGGGCCGGGCCATGTTCTCTCCTGGGGGAGAGATGTATGTTTTTTTGAAGCAGAAAAGCCCCTGCCAGGAAGACTCTGCTGCAGTGGAGGCACCACGTGGGGATGTTTGCTGCTAAGTGTGGAAAAGGAAAGGTGCCAGGACCAACTCCTTCCCTTGCCCCTGGAAGCCTGCAGGCACTGGGGTGGGGGGTAAGGACAGTCTCCCACCCATGGCTAGACACAGTTCAGTCCCACGCAGGCTTAGGGAGCTGGAAGGGTATGAAACAACACAGAGGCACTGCCAGCAGGGCACACACCAAAGTGGGCAGAATCCATCATTGCAGCCATGTCCAATGCAAACAGGGCAATGCTCTGAGCACCTACTGCAGGACCTGGCGCAGGCAGAGAAAGGGGAAAGGGGCAGATGTCCCTGGCTTCAGTCTCCCTGCTGCATGGCACATTCCCATATAGAAAAGGCTTGTCCACACCTCCACCTCCATCAGCACAAGCTGGACCCCTCCCCACCACCCACCCCGACTCCTCTATGACAGCTAAAGCCTCTGCCCAGAGGTGGGAGGATGAGCACCAGGGCAGGATTCAACACATTCACTTCCTGTCAGAGCTGGGGCAGGCCCAGTACTGACAGCTACTCTGAACTTAATCTATTCAGATCCTAACGAGAAGCCGAGACCATAGGCTCTACCTCCTGCTCCAGCCAGCACTAAGCAGGACTCCAGACTGGCTATCCAGGGATGGCTTTCTGCTGCTCTGACCCCACTGTCCACCCTGCAGAGGCCTGGACTGGGCTCCCTGCACTAACCCCACACCCAGGTCCAAGCTCTCAGAGGGCAGGGCTCAGAGCTTGGTGATATTTGTTTCCAAGCACAGCAGCATTACCCCAGGTGGCACAGCCTTCGGCAAGCTTGGGCTTGTGAGCCACTAATCCTTGGGCCAACACAGGCCCCACCTCCGAAGCTTGAATTTCAGGCTAAGCAGGAAGGAGGAGTCTGCTTCCTTCCCATCCTAACACTCCTCCTTCCCCTGAGGTCTCCTCACGCTCCCTGGGACTTAGCCTTCATACCAGAACCGTGTCCCCCTGAGGACATGCCTGGGGCTCAACAGACCAGCACGTGGCCAGGAGCCTGCTGCCCCAGGGCCCAGTCTGCCACACTGAACATCGACGGGGAGATTCAGAAGCAGCACGACATGGGCTGGCTCAAGGGGCCAACACAAAGCTGCCTGTTCTTACCGGATGGGGCAGAGCCATGTTCAAGATACAACATGCCCAGAGTCACGTTCAGGACACAATGTGCTTAGAGCCTCCTGCCAGCTCTCAGGGGACTAGAGTTCTTCCAGGTTTGTTTTTCTCAGACTTGCCCAGCAGGCCTCTGGGTCTCCTCTCTCCCCACACCCAGACAGACTTGCCCCTTCTTCCAGAACATCTATGGTCACACTTGTGGGCAACCAGCGTCCTTCCGGGCATGAGGAAAGAGGAGACCCAGAGGCCAGCATAAGCCTTGCAGCCCACACGCACAGCATCCCTTCCTTACTAGCTTCCAAGCGATAGGCGTCCGATTTCTGAGGGGTCCCAATGTTGTTCTGCGCCTCGCAGTAGTAATCCCCCGAGTCAAAGCCGGTCACAGGATCAAACGTCTACAGCAGGGAAAGAAGGTAAAAGAGACATATGAGCCAAGGCACACACTCACTCCATGAGAGCCCAAAATCCCCAACTCTCCCGGCGCACGTACCAGCTGCCCTGTCTTGGGGTTGAGCTCGTAGGAGGAGTTCTTGAAGGCCTCACTCATCTTGGGGTTCACGGGCATCTGGATGTTGTTCCTGTACCACTGGAAGGTGGGGGGCGGGGAGCCATCCGACTCCTTGCACGTCAGCTCAGCCTTGTTGCCGATGGTCACTGAGGCGGGTACGGAAGCCACGTGGGCCGCTGCCGGGGAAGAGGCACAAGTCAGCACAAAGGACAAGGCACTTTGGCTGCTACCAGGACACCCCAGACAGGAATACCAGCATTTGCTGGTCATGCTTAGGTAATGATGGGATGATCTGGTTGGGGCTGGTTGTGCTTTGAGCAGGGGGCTGGACTAGATGTGACCTCCTGAGCTGCCTTCCAACCCTCACTTTCTATGATTCTATGACGGACCAGGGCCTAAACGAGCAGCCACACTCAGCGATACCATGTGGCCAGGCCATTTTGAGTGAAGAGAGCAGTAACAGGCATTCAGGCTGGCCAGTTTCCCAGCTGGCTGCACTTCCCCTGCACTGCTCCAGGGGCATGATTTCACAGACATTAGGGCTGGAAGGGACCTCGGAAGATCATCGAGTCCAGCCCCCTGCCCAAAGGGCAGGAAGTCAGCTGGGGTCATAGGATCCCAGCAAGATAAGCATCCAGTTTGCTCTTGAAGGTGTTCAATGTAGGCGCTTGAACCACCTCCAGTGGCAGGCTGTTCCAGACCTTGGGGGCTCGGACAGTAAAGAAATTCTTCCTTATGTCCAGCCTGAAACGGTCTTGAAGTAGTTTATGACCATTCAACCTAGTCGCCATCCCTTGGGGCGCTCTGGTGAACAAACGTTCCCCCAAACCTCGAGCCACCCTCCTTTTTGGATTCTGATTATGCACCTTGTAATGGAGTGGTGCTGTATGCAAGCAGGAGCCAGAGGCAGTTCCTTCCTGCCCCCTGCAGAGATTCAGCTCTGCACTAGACTTTGATTATCCTCAGATTAGCACAAGCATCCGCGTAACATCCAGCTCCCTGGATGTTGCTTTGGCTTTCTGAAGTAGGATGCCAGACAGCACCTTTTCCTTCCAGTGAGGCAAGGAATGAAAATGGTTTGGGGGCTGGAGCACATGACTTGTGAAGAGAGGCCGAGGGAACTGGGCTTATTTAATTTGCAGAAAAGACGACTGAGCGGGGATTTGACAGCACCCTTCAACTCCCTGCAGGATGATTATAAAGAAGAAGGAGCTGGACTGTTCTCAGCAGCGGCAGATGACACAACAAAGAGCAAAGAGCAATGGTCTCAAGTTGCAGCAAGGAAGATTTAGGTTGGAGGTTAGGGAAAACTCGCACAAGGAGAGTAGTAAAGCACTGGAATGGGTTACCTACAGAGCTGATGGACTCTCCATCCTTGGAGGTTTTTAAGATCTGGCTCAACAAAGCCTTGGCTGAGAATATCTAGCTGGGTATGTTCCTACTTTGAGCACGGGGCTGGACCAGATGTGACCTCCTGAGGTCCCTTCCAAACCTCAGTTGTTATGATTTTATGACCCTGGGCAAGATATTCCCCATTCTTCACTGCCAGAGCTCTGGAGCAGTCATTGCTGCCACCATAAGTGGTACTTAAAATGAAACCAAATCAGAACAGCACCACTGTCCATCCATCTCCTCTGACTAATGGCTGTAACAAGGCAGAGGGTAACAGGGCATCATATTCACTGCACTCACTTGGGGAGATGAATACAAGTGACTGCTTGAGCTCGAGCCTGCCACTGGTGGGAGCTGAAAAGGTGTGGGGTCAGCACTGGCCCCAGGGAAGCAGCCTGTTTCCTACCTGCACCAAGGCCTCTCCCAGGCCTTCTTGACCTGACCTGTATCTGGCAATTCTCTGACCCTGGGCAGCTGACATCAGCCAGGCACCAAGGAAGGTTTCTCAGAGCACTGCCAACCCCATCCAGTGTCTCGTCTCTAGCCAGGGCCAGTCTGATGCTTTGGAGGAAAGTGAAAGCCCAGAATTCATTCAACTGGGCACTAGGACAAGTCCCTTCCCCAACCCTGCAGATCTCCAGCCAAGGCCCCCCAACAGAGTCAATAGCTGCCTCCCTCCAGGGCTTACAACAGCACAAGGTAAGCACAGGACTCAGCACATAGGGACCGGTGATCATGGAGGCAGGGTTTGGCCTGTGTGTCCACACCCAGTTTTTGAGGACCTAGGTTCCATCATCTTTTTTTTGCAAACAAGCATCTGACTTCCTCCTCCGAGGGAGGGCAAGGCCATCACCTCCCTGTGAGCTGTTACCACATGGCGTTACCTTCCCAGCTAGGAAAAGGCAAAGGAAGATCAGGCCAGCGCTGACAGCATGCTCCACCATGCCACAAATGGGACAGACAGCACTTACACAGGAGACAAACTAAACGTATGCCAACCATGTGTCCCTGACCTGCCAGCCTGGGAATGATGACATGTCAGCCCTCCCCTTACGCCTTACAGAAACACCAGCAGGACTAGCACTGGTAGGATGCTTCCTTCTTTGCCACGCAATGGGCTACATATCCGCTGGCAGGTCTCTTTTCTCCACAACAGACTTCAATTGTACCAAAAAGAGCAGCACAGGATTAGGATGCCCCTTCAAACAGTGCTGATCTGATCAGGTCCCACTCCTCTTGCTGCTATTTCCAAAGCCACCTGGCTGAAGGGGCATTGAGCCTCGGCTCCGTGCAGCCAGTCCCCATGCGACTTCCTACAGGAGGGGGCAGGTACCTTGGACAATGAGGTTGACCTCCGACTTGGAGAGCTGGCCGCTCTCCCCCAGGACCTCACAGACGTACTTCCCAGTGTCCTTCCGGGTCACCGAACTGAAGTGGATCGATGAGGGTGTGAACTGTACGCGGCCTTTGTACGGTTCTGTGGAGAAAGGGGAGGAGGCACGTGGGCATGAAGGTGTGTGTAACACCGAGTAGGTCAACACCAGAGGAAAGGCTGTTCCCACCCCACCAAACGCCTCCAAAGGAAGCCCCCACCCCTATCTGGTGTAGCACAGGGGGCCCAATCCCTGAGAGCCAGGCAGATAGGGGCACTGGTCCCATTCCTTCAGGAAGGGTCGACATTAGGCTGCTCACATCCCAGTATGACCCACCTGTGAAGGCAGCAATTGTCTCCTGGGGTGCTAGGACACCCCAGCAAGTCATGAGCAGCTTTTAAGGGTGCCACACAATAACAGCACCGCTAGGTATGTAAACACTTGCACAAGATTCAAAAGATCAATCCAAGCATTTCCAATTCAAAACATCCCAAAACCTTGCAAGAAATCTGCTTTTCTGCAGTCGAAAAACCAAAAGCTACATGCTGGTTTTCCAAGGAGGGCCTGGATTTTAACAAAATTGAAAACCAATCTACAGTTAATCGGCCACATTTCTTTTCCTACAGCTCTTTCACCACTCTCTCAATGCTTTCAAAAATCCCTAGCTCACAGGAGTTCAGCTGATTCACTGTATAGCAGCCTGGGGCACAGGGTCAAGAAAAGTGCCTAGGGCACCGTTCCCAAACTGTTCAATCTGGAAAGCTTCTTCTTGCATGACTTCAGGAAGTTGAGTCCTCCAACCACTTAAGAGCAGATCCATCAATATTACTGCAATCTTTCAGACTATTCGCTCCCTCTGGAAAGCTAAGCTGCAGGTGGCCAGAAAGGGCAAGAATGCCATGGGCAGGGCAGACTGCACAAAACGACGGGCTGACTGATTCTCACCTGCCTTTGCAATGCCTTGGCACACCCAGAATGCACAGGTCCTGCTCTGGGCGTCTGGGACCCCTGGGATCCAGTTGTGTTACTGTGAGCACTTTCACTGCCTTCCAGCTGCAAAGCACTGTATTGTGCCAACACCTGCAGCTCCTTACATCTGCTGGGAAGTTACAACCTGAAGCAGCTTAGCAACCCCCCTGGATCACTCACAGCCCCTACGCAGAGGTCTATACCTGTGAACTGAGAGTTCCAGTAGAAAAGCGTCACGGTGTTGCCCTTCTCAAACTTCCACTCGATCCGGGGATTTCCCCGCTGCGCCAAATATGCATCACAGGGCAGGTCAACCGCTGAAAAGGAGCAGCAGGGAGTTGGCAATTGCACTGTACAGAGCACAGCTAGGCAGGTAGCATGCAAGCTCTACAAAGAAAGCTGGGCCACGTCCCATTTACACAAGGGTCTGTGGTTCAGGTGTATCATTCAGTCAATCTACTATGCCAAGTGTGTTCAGCCCCGGGCTGCAGGCCTGTTTCAGCCCTTAGAGCTATGTCAGCTAGCCTGTGGGGCTCTCCAGGGGTCTGGAAATTTGGCAGTGGGGAAGTGGCGGCAATTAAACACTATCACCATCTATCTGCTGCCAAATTCCCAAGCACCATGTAGCTGGTTCAGATCTGTGGACAGGATCCAGCCCATGGACAGACCTGGCTGGACACCACTGTATTATGCTCCCCCCCACTTTGAAGGACAACATGCCTTGAGAGATTTTGCATGCAAGCAGTTTATCAAAACCACTGAGGCACTTGATGGTGCCTCTGTACCTTCATCAGGAGAGACCCAAGTACCAAGGAGCACTTTTCTCTATTCACCAGAAAGGCACAACAAGAGCCAAGGGCAGGACGTTAGAACCAGGCCTTCAGGTAAGAATTAACTTGTAAGTGAAGTTAACCACCAGAACACACTGCTGAGGAAACAGCACCTTTCAACTCCCTGAAGGGTGGTTCCAAAGAGGATGGAGCTGGACTGGTCTGAATTGAGCAGCACCTGATTTCAAAAGCTAACCTATATATTCCAGTGCTAACCCCCTGGGCCAAGGGGCTGGGTAGTGCGAGTGAGGGATCTGCCGTGCTCAGACATGATCTGCTCATCTCCTTACACTTTGGGGCTCTCTTCAAAGGATCTGGTGGCACCCAGCTGGTGAGCAGAGTGCAATGGTTTCAAGTTGCAGCAAAGGAAATTCAGGTTAGATATCGGAAAAAACTCTCCCCCTAGGAAGGTGGTGAAGCACTGGAACAGGCTCCCCAGCACGGATGTGGAATCTCCATCCTTGGAGGATTTTAAGACTAGACAAAGCCTTGGCTGGGATGATGTGGTTGGGACTGGTCCTGTTCTGAGCAGCAGGTTGGACTGGATGTGATCTCCTGAGGTGCCTTCACCCCTCATTTCCTACGATTCTCTCCATCTCTTGACCTCTTCCGAGAGAGAATGAAGGTCTTTCTGGGCGATCATAGTTTAGCTGAAAGCCATAGGATTATGTTAAATGCAAAATTAACAGACTGGCAAGGCAGGGGGGCACCCTGCAGGCTAACTGGATCAAAGAGGTGTGGGCTTTTGGAACTAACTAAATTAACTGACTACCACAACGAACCACCTCTTTAGTGATGTAGGATTAACGGAGCAAAAATACAATCCTGGTTAGGATCCGGTTCCTTCTCACCTTAATCAACAAGCTAGTCACAGCCCCCAGCCGAACCACACCTGTCTGACAATTCAGTCTGCTGTTAAGTACTGCAGGATTTCTAGAACAAAATGCTGCAGCCGTTTGTTTGCTCTGTGCATTTGACAACACCATGTACAGTCTGTCTCGGTGCTTTCCCGAGAGGTCACAGTTTACAAGGACCTCTCCTTTTGCCCGGCAGAAGGCACAGTGAAACTTAACTAGGAAACACGCTGTGACGCAGCAGAAACTAGCAGGGACAAGCAGCGCGTCTGAAATTACTCCAGGGCCTACCAGCTTTGAGCCTGCTGAGATTGACATTCTGGTTAAACATCTAACGCAGCGATTCTCAAGCAGGGTGCCACCAGATCCTTTGAGGAGTGCCCCAAAGTGCAGGGAGATAAACAGATAATATCCGAGCCCGGCAGATCCCTTGCTCCCATTGCAAGGATGTTAGCACTGGAAAAGATATATTAATTTTTTTAATGAGGTGCTGCTCAATTCACAAGAGTTAGGGAGGGCTGCCTTGAGTCCAGCAAGTCCAAGAAAACCACTGGTTTGATAGCACATCACCCTCCTCCTGCCAGCAATTGTTGAGTACTGGGAAAGCAGCTCCTGCCTAAAACTAGAAAGGTCAGGACAAGGCACCCCTAAGAAAGAGGGGCATTTCCACAGAGCAACCTGGGGACAGTTTTTCAAAGGTACCATATTTGCTCCACCTTTAAAAAAAAACAAAACAAAAAACAGCTGCAGGGAATTGGAGTGCACGGCATCTGTGAGAAATACAGTAAGTTTCTACAGCTGGCCCAGGCAAAAAGGAAAGTAAAATCTGCACCCAGCCCACAGTGGGCAGGCTCCACTCCCTCCATGCGGCTACTCAGTTGCTTACTACAAGGACAGATCCTTTTTCTCTTCCTCCTTCCTTTCAAAAACAGGGTGTGCATCATATTCTGGGACTCGCTATATGAGAAAATATGGTAACCTGTGCACCTAAAGATGCAGACAGGCACTTAGTAGGATTTTTCAAGCAGGAAAAATGAGTGGGAGGTGGGTGTCAGACCTACCTGTTTACTCCCGAAAACCCTGCCAGGGACCTGCGTTTCTCTGGCATCTTTGCAAGCCCAGCCAAACTTGGGCTGGGCAGGAAGGAGTACTCGGAGCCTTCTGAGAGCTCTCAAATCCCTTCGACTCCTTTTGAAGCAGGAGGGAAGAGTCACTGTGGCTTAACCCCATCCTTTGACCAGGTCCAAACCCTGGCCCAGACCCCAGCTCAGAACAGGGACCCGTGGTCCATCAGTCCCAAGACGGTCAAAATGGTTCAAGACCTGCCTGAGCCCTGCCTCCCCCCACTTCTGCCAGCATGGGAGCTATTGCATTCGCGTGTGGCTCCTCGGTGGCTAGGTACCTGCAGGACAGCTGGGGCAGCCCGGAGCATGCGTTGCACTCAGGCCTTTGGCACTAGTGAACCCTGGCAAACACACACTCAGCATAGTGTGAACACCCAGCCAGAGCTCCTCCAAGTAACTACAGGGGCTCCAGCGGGAAGGGTCACAGGCCATGTCCCAGCTGGGGAAGCCTCCTGGCTGGGTCAAAGGGGGCAACAAAGCACTTACGGCTATTCTCCGGCACTTCTCTCTGTGTCACCTGGCCTGCTACCAAGGACCCTGTGGGAAGGAAAAAGGAAACGCAATGAAGACACACTTGTATGTGAGCTACAGGAACCAAGAGATCCAGGAGCCAGGACACCAACCAAGCTCCACCTTCCAGCAAGGTAGCTTTCCTACAAAGGCCCAGTTCAGTCTCTTCAGTGCCACCCACCTGTGTCCCAGATGTCACGGCATTATGCCAGATGCTGAGAAATTACAACTGTGGGAACGGCACTCGTCCCAACCTCATCAGAGGGCTTCGCATTCTAAGATAAGGACATTAATGCACACCCTGAACCTCCAGGCTTGCACAAAGGGGCAGGACCAGATGTCATGACCCATACAAAACCGTGCCTGTCCCCAAGCCACGGTGTCTCCCCAGGTTCCACGGGGCACAAAGTGCAGCTGCCTCCCATCTCCGGTTCCCAGGGAAATCCCTTCCCAGCAGGACTGCGGCTGCCCCCAATTCAACCTCCTGCCAAGATACAGAGGGACCCCAGTTGCCCAAAGCACGTGAGGGCTGGTCCCCTCCTGACTGCAGGGCACAGTGCAATCCCTAAGGGGAGAGGGGGCTAGCAGCCTGCATGGTCCATGCCACCTCAGGATAATGTGCTGGAGGAAAGGACCTGCAGGCTCCACAGCCAGCACTTGGCCCCCTGCACCCCACACAACAGCCCCAAGACGTCTCTGGCAGACCAGGGGAGGCTGAACCCGACTGTGCCCTGGGAAAACAGAGACAGGCAAGAAAAGGAATTCTTTGAGTCTCATTTCTATACTAAGGGAAGTCGCAAGTCTAAACTCTTCCCCGGGCAGCTCCGAGCTATGGTACCCTGATGACCGCGCTCCTGACAGAGCTGTGTGTTGGGACATGAGAGCTTCTTGAGGGCTGGAGTTAGAATAACAGAAAGTGAGGGTTGGAAGGGACCTTGGGAGGTCACATCTCATCCAACCTGCCGCTCAAAGCAGGACCAGCCCCAACTACATCACCCCAGCCAAGGCTTTGTCCAGCCAGGTTTTGAAAACCCCCAAGGATGGAGACCACCACCTCTCCAGGTAACCTACTGCAGTGTTTTACTGCCCTCCTAATGAAAAAAATTCTTCTTAATACTTAAACTTCCCTTGCTACAACTGGAGCCCATTGCTCCTTGTTCTGTCATCTGCCACCACTGACAGCATCCCACCTCAACCCTCTTTGTAACCTCCCTTCAGGTAGTTGAAGACTGCTATTAAGTCTCCTCTCATTCTCGTCTTCTCTAGACTAAATAAGCCCCATTCCTCAGTCCTTCCTCATAAGTCATGTCCCCCAGCCCCTGAACCATTTGTGTTGCCGTGAGCTGGACCCTCTCCAATTTGTCGACATCCTTTCTGTAGCAGGGGGGCCCAAAGCGGGACACAGACACCAGTGCTGAAGAGAGGGGAAGAATCACTTCCCTTGAAGTGCTCACAGCACACCTACCAATGCAGCCCAGGATGCCATTAGCCATCTTGGCAGCACGGGCACACTGCTGGATCACATTCAGCTTCTTATCTACCGTCTCCCCAAGGTCCTTTTCTGCAGAGTCGCTGCCCGGCCAGTCACCCCCAGCCGGTACCGGTGCATGGAATTTCTCCGTCTTTAGTGCAGCACTTTGCACTTGTCCTTGTTGAACCTCATGAGGTTCCTTTTGGCCCAATCCTCCAGTGTATCTAGGTCACTCTGAACTTCCCAAGCCCTAGTCTGTAGGGACCCTCCTAGGTATTTTTAGCACAGGTCACGCGCATTTCCCAGTAGGGAAGGAATGCTCTGCTTCCCCCCTGCTGCTCCAGATAACAGCCCAAGCACCTGGTCCTGAGCCAAGGAGCAGCTCCACGGCTGCCTCCGGCCTGCCCCGAGCAGGGTCACTCCTTCCCTCTGCAGGGGAAAGGGCTCTTTCCCATCCGGGTGTCCCCATCGACGGCAGCCTCTAGCAGTGATCTGCTGCACAGAGGCAGACGAGGAGTGTAAAGCCAGGCAGAAGACAGCACGTTCGAGGTACTGAGACAGCAGATTTGCTGTGTCTGTAGCTCCACCCGGGCTGTTTTTGTCACTGCATCAGGCACATAGTTATTGGCTGTGCCCTGTAAGCAGTTTTCAGGGGCAACAAGTGCCATCAGAGTTACCTTTCAAGCCAACGCCACCTTGGATGTGCCCATACGCTCTGATGGCCACCAGCCCCAGAAGTCACCACCCGCTGGTTTTTTGCCAGGATCAACTGAACCCACTTTATAATACACATTGTTATTCGATGCCAGCTCTTTGGGGAAAAACAGCTTTCTGAGATGACCGCAGCTTGTGCCAAGAGCACTCTGGCACTGGGTCTAGGCCGGAGCATGGCATCTTCCAAGTGATCCCAATGGCTAGGATGTGATAAAGAGCCATCTCTTGCTGGCAGCTGCGGCCCTACCAGCCCAGGGCTCAAATATTTTCACTGACGCCTTGAGCCGCAACTGCTCACCGTTAGGGAGCCTCCGCACTGGTCCTCGGCAGCCCACACAGGACCAACCAGGTTCAAGAGCAGTCCTCCACAGAGCTCTGCAGTATTCCCACCTGGCAGAGCCATGGGGCATGGAGGACTGCGGGCCTGGCTAGCTAGAGTGGGTGAAAGCACCGTCTGGGCTACTGCCGCTGCTCAACAACTCATGTATATATAGTGGATGCCATGCCCCGTCTCTAATATATCCTGTGAGCAGAGACCAGGTGCTGCCTCTGCAGGTCCAGAGGGCAGCCTCTGCTGCAGTCAGGAGCACTGCAGCACCACACCGAGCTACAGCCAAGCTCGTAAGAGGACTGACAGTGGGAACCTCATGAGAGTCTCATCAGCCTGGCAGGCAATGGAAGGCTGTAGGGTGAAGGCTGACCAAATGAGGTCCCAAGGACACCCCCGCCCCAGGGTGAAGCCCCACAGACAGGCCAAGGCAACTGCACAAGCTCCTTTTCCCAGGTGGATTTCTCCAGCACCAGATTCAACGCACACCAGGCCATGTCCCCATCGCTGCTCGCAATGCTTGGTCCACATTGCTGACAACTAATGGCGCATTTCCCACAAGCCACAGGCTCCTGTAGCACAAGCAGACAAGACCCTTCCCAGGAGGTGGTTTTGGGGCTAAGGCGCAGTCTGGGAGAGGAGAGGAGAGGAGTTTAAGCCCAGACGACCTCCACGGTTTGGCCCACTGGTGAATTCAGAAGCTCCTGAACTCAGACAAAGCATGTTGCTTCCCCTCCCTAACCCCCATGGTAGTCTAAGTTTCCCCCACCCTGCTTTCAGACCAACTGATTCAGATGCACAAGCTTTTTTCAGCAATATAGCCTACTGCATCAGATGCCACGAATGGACTTGTGTCTGACACAGTAGGCTGTTGCCTATGAAAGTGGATAACAAGACCTAGATGACCAATACCAAAGACAGGTCCAGACCAGAACTGATTTCTGGGGGACCCAAGGCAGTTATCTCCGTACGGATCTGGGTCTTCCCTCGTAATCAAAGCTACCACTAGATATGCATAGTTTGCCTTCTGACAGACTTGAGACCAACCCGGTGAACTTCCTCTCCCAAACAAAGGTGTGCCACGCAACCTTGCGTCTTCAGGCCTGCAGCTAATGTGTAATCCAGTCCATGCTGGCTTAGCTTCCTATTTTCTTTTACTAGCCCACTTGCTTAGGTGTGATCATCTCTTACAGTAATGCTGCCCCGCTATCTGCCTCTGGAAAGGTCTAATCCACCTCATCAATAAGTTAGGGTTGGGAACCTAGTTAAATATTGTCAATTGACTGCCTATTTTTGGCTAGATCAAAAGATAAAAGATTATAGCAGTTTTACAAGAAAACCCTACTTTTTTGGTAGTTTTCTTGATGGAAATGTGCTTTTTTAATGTTTTTGACATTTCTTAATGGAAATGAGTGCTTTTTCGACGTATTATTTAGACCTCTCAGCTTTTTTTTTTTCCTTCTTTTTTTACTGTGTTGTTTGACTGATATCTGACCTGTCAACGGACTGAACTTTGACCGGTCAAATACCCAACCCTAAAATAAATTGTGTGAATTCTTTACAAGAGAAGCCCCAGCTGAGCTAAGGAACAGTGAAGCCCAGGTGAGCACCCAAACCAACAACAGACTCTCTCCAATGCCTGAAGAAAGGTGTTTGTGCCTGAAAGCCTACAAAAAAACCCTTTTTCCCCAACCATTTAGTTGGTCTAATAAAAGATATCACACCTACCCAAAGAACCTTGCCTGCCTAAAACCCAGGGAGGTTTCCTCCTCCTCCTTCCTCTGGCTGCCGCAGAAGAAAAGGGTAATGGAGCAGAGCCCTGGCCCCGGAGGAAGGGGCAGGGGCAAGCCAGATAGGAATGCTGATAAGAGGAAGTGAAAGAAGGCAATTACATGGCGAGAACAAGGAGGCAAAACCAAGCCTTGCTATCAGCAGGGGGCACTGGGTGGGGTGGAGCAGGCCGAAGTTAGCTTCTGCCAGGCACCTGGTGCATTTTCCTGTCCTACCTGTTCTGGGTGGCCCCTCCCTCGTGCCCGCTCCTTGCAAAGTTTCAGGGGAAACTACGCCTGTATTCCTCCAGTGAACCTTTGGCCAGTATTACCCAACAACTCTGCCCTCCCAGGCTCGTAGGCACCACTTCCTGCTCAGAGAACTCTGCTTATACGAGACAGGACTTTATACAGGGGTCCTGTACAAGAGGGAGCAAGTTCCCTTCCTGTGCTGCTTTGCCAGGGGCTCCTCCTGCCCTTCCACGCTCAGCAGGGTCAGTACGACAGGCACAGGAGCCCCCACTGGTTTTAGGGTTACTGAGGGCAGTGGAGGCCCGTGACTGCATGTGTGTACATGCATGCACACCCCAGCCTGCTCAGTGAGCACTCCAGATCTGCTCTGATCTCGCATGCTTTCGGAGCTCAGGGTTTGGCATGTGCTGCGGAGGGACTGGGTTACTACAGCAGTGCCGGGAGGATAGAAAATGCCAGCAGGATCATTGGCACAGTCCAGTCCTTATCCCCA